CTATCCTTGATAACCCTGGTTATAAAAGCCCAGGTCTTGGCTCTGTGTGCTTCTACTTTTATGTGAGCCTTTCTTGCTCTCCAGAATGAGTGCAGCAAGGCTCCTGTGCCCTTTACCACTATCCATGATCTTGAGATGATCAAGGCCTCCTTTGATGTTATTGTTGAAGCTTTTGTGGATGAGCAGTAAAAACAATGGCCCAAGGATCAAAGGATCCTTGGATCATTGCTTCAGCACAGTGCATCTGAGCCCTCCTGATAAGCACCAAGCACATTAAAATGGCAAAGCTGGTTGGCAGGCGAGTGCCTGCGTGTGCAGAAGGAGCCTCTGACTGCTGCCATCCTGCTGTTTCTTCCTCATGGTGCCGGTCCCAGCCTGCGTGCTTGGCCTTATCTCTCTGAGAGCTTCTGGCAACCATGTTAGGTCCTCGGGGCAGGCTGCCTGTCCCTGGGTGCCTTCCTCAAACTGCACCTGAGATTGAGGGGGGGTCCTTAGAGGGGACAGGGACAAATGTTCTGCACATGGAAGCTGGCCGTCAGGGGAGCTCTCCTGTTTTGCCCACAGCCCCACCGACCTCTCGGAGCTGCTGAAGGAAGGGACGAAGGAATCCCATGATCGTGCGACGAATACTCAGTTTGTCAAAGACTTCCTGAAAGGACGGATCAAGGAGGAGCTTTTCAAGGTGAGTGCTGCTCTGTTTTCTTGACAGAGAAGCTCTTTACTGATCTATCCAGTGACTGATGCAGACTGAAGACTTGTTGAAGCCGAGCACCTCTGGCTTGTGTGTGTTGAGGGTGGATTTGCAGTCATCAGCACTTGTCAGGGGCTGCCCCCCAGTTGAGCTCCAGGATGGTGAGGAGCACGCTGGTCTAGCACAGGCTTGCTTTAGATGTAGGTGCTTGGCTTCTGGCCCCACACGTTGTAATCATGATGGGGTTATCGCCATAAACCAGTCCACTAGAGGCTGATCTTGCTTCCACAGGCTTTATGCCATATTGCAATTTAAACCGTACAGAAGAGATGGAGTTTGGGTCTGAGCAGTACTGTCTGATTGTGAAGGTCTTGGGCCATGTGCAGTAGCCACTGCAGCACTCGGTGTTGGTGCTACTTGCAGCTCTTGCATGAAGTCAGTCCCTGTGGCGTGCCCCGAAGCTGGCAAAGCCTGGAGCACAGCAGCCTTAGACCAGTAATCCTCAACCCTTCTCTCTAGGCAACTTCATTCTGAAACTAGGTGAAGAGCCTCTGGTCCTTCAGACCACGCACTTTGCTGTGGGCTCTCCAGGCTGGTTTTGTGCAGAGCCCTGGGGTTTCCTCTCTGTGGACCCAACCTCCACACTGGGGAGGAGGAGGCACAAGGGGAGGCGCAGATGCAGTGAGTAACTTCTCATGTGAGCTGTGCTTTGTCCATAGCTGGCTACCGTGGCGCTCTACTTCACATACTCTGCCCTGGAAGAGGAAACGGATTGCAACAAAGACAACCCGGTCTTTGCCCCTCTGTATTTCCCTCTAGAGCTCTACCGGAAAGAAGCATTGGACAAAGACATGGAGTATTTCTATGGCAAAGACTGGAAAGAGAAGATCCAGTGTTCCGAAGCAACTAAGCACTACGTGGACAGAATCCATCATGTGGGACAGCATGAACCAGAGTTGCTAGTGGCCCATGCTTACATACGCTACATGGGGGACCTCTCAGGTGGCCAGGTGCTGAAGAAGGTAGCCCAGAGGGCCCTGAAGCTGCCCAGTACTGGAGAAGGAGTCCAGTTCTACACCTTTGAAAACATTTCCAATGCACAACAGTTCAAGCAGCTCTACAGAGCAAGGATGAATGCGCTAGACTTGGACAAGAACACTAAGGAAAGGATTGTGGAAGAAGCCAACAGGGCTTTTGAACTGAACATGCAGGTACTAAATCCCTTGAGTCACTATACCTATAGGTGCTGCTGTCTTCAGCTCTGGGCCTAGATTAATGCAGCCAAACTGTTCACCTGGGAGAAGTGGCTTGGGTCTGAGACCATGAGAGTCCCTTCCACTGGGGGGCAGCAGGATTCTGCCTTTCTCTCATGTGGAGGTTTTGGTCTGAGCAACTCTGTCCACCTTCTGGACACCTAACAGATATTGGCAGCAATTCTTCTCCCCACACTAGTGCTATGCCTGAACTTTTGATCAGGACTGAACTGAGACATCTCGGACTATTCCATGAATGGTGGCTCTAAAGCAATGGCAAGAGCAAAACTCTTGCTTAGTTTCAAACAGCTTTAGCCAGATAAATGCTCTTGTGTTGTCATCCCCATATTGCCCTTTCCTAGAGAGTTTATCTCTTGTCTCAGCTGGTGATCTGAAATTTCTTCCAGTGGGCAAAAAGATCTGTAGCCCATGGCCTCTTTTCCTTCCCATGTTACTTCCATCTTGCATGAAATGACTGAGCTGCCCACTGTTCTGGGAAGAGGGACATGCTCTGAAGTTTTAATCTGTGCCTGTAGCAGGTCTTTGTGATTTAAGCTGCTCAGAAATGTGATGGGGAGTGTAGTAGGCTCCTGTGTTTTGGGAATCCTTACAGAAGCCCCTGCCAGAGGAGCTGGAGGGGCCTGCCCAGCTGCTCTGTGAACAGGAGCAGTGATTTCCTAGAGAAGATCTGGCAGCAGGGCAGGGAGCTCATAGCTTCATCCGGCCTCCACAGCTGGCTGGAAGGCAGGCAGCAGGGTGATGCTCTGCCTCACTCCTGGGCACAGAGCTCTAACCTGAGATGCCCTTAGTAGGGTCTCTGCCTTTGCAGAGGCTCTCGGCAGCGTCTGCCTGCAAGGCTGTCGGAGGTAGAAGGGAATGTTCTACTTGCTGTCCAGGGGGCTGGAAATGAAATTATTCTTCCTGTTCTCTGGGTCTTTGATCTGCGTGTGCAGCTCTGCCTACCTCATGCCCTCACTGTGACCACTTGCAGGTATTTAATGAACTGGACAGGATTGGCATGTCTCTAACAGAAGAAGCCCAAGCAGGAGGTGTCCCAGTCCATGATGGAAAAGGAGACATACGCAAATGCCCTTACTATGCAGACAAACTAGGTAGGTTTTGTGCAATGACAGTTGCCAATCCTTAGCTGTATGTGTGCTGCAGCACTAATGGCACTTTCTGTGTTCTAGGTGGCATGGCAGGAGCTGGCTGTCCCTATCACGCTGCCATGTCCTTGGCAAAGCAGCCCCTCGTGCAGCTGATCCTCGCGGCTTGGGTCGCTGTGGCAGCAGGAGCTGCAGCCTGGTACATCATGTGATGGGAAGAGCAACCTGCACCCTGATGGTGGCAAAAGGAGAGGTGCACCCTGTCCTTCTTCAGACTGTTCTCCTGCTACTGGTGGAGTTGCCTGCAGGGTGCAAGTAAGACAATAAACAGACTGTCCAGGACTTTCTGCACACCAATAGTGCAAGCGCTGTAATATAATGTCGTAGCTAACTAGTGTACAGCATGGAGGAGGTAGCAGGTATGTGGATTCCAGGTCAGCACTGCTCTGCTCAGATCAGGGCAACTTGTAAGGCTATAGCTGTCGTGTCCTGCACTGGCAAAGGCTTCACACGCTTGGCTTTCTATCTCCTTCCTGGAAGTGGTCCCCATGGTGAGTTTTCTGCCCTGGGCTGCAAGCCAGGAAGGTGTCATCAGTCTCTTCAGTGAGGAGCATTCAGTTTCTTATCATGAGGAGCTGGTGGAGAGGTACCATGATGTGGCAGTGGCTGTTAGTTCAGAGGAGGAATGTATTGCTTGTTCCAGTGTCCTGGGGACCAAGTGCAACTTATATCGTGGAGAGGATTCTGCCCTCTTAATGATGGCTTGAGGAGGGCTGTACTCCCTGGAGGAGGGGACAGGACCAGATGTGTGGGTGGGGGCATGAAGGTGACATGTTTATTGTGCAACATTGATTTTGCTGAAGCCTTGACTGGAATAAAAAGTTGCTATGCTGCAGCAGGGGAAAGCCAGGAGTGCATCATTGTGTGGGAGAAAAGGCAGCTGTGGTGTGACACAACCCATATGGGGGTGTGGAAGGCTGAAGAGGCAGGATGATGGATTTAACCTCCCACACTGTCCTACTCATCTCCTCCTCCTCCCCTGTCACTGACCAGTGCTGCTTCCCCAGAGACACTCACGGCTGCTTCCCCATAGGATTTTCTTCCCCCTGCTCCCAGGCAACAGGGAGGAGCTGCTGCCCCTTCTGCCAGGGTCAGGTTAAGCTGGGTGCTGTCACTGCATTGCCCTTGTGCCTTATGTCCGCTCTGAGGCCAGGGTCTGTCTGCATCCTTCTGTCTCCTATCCCGGGGTCCTTGCCCCCTTCCTGCCAGGACAGGGGCTCTTGTACATCTAACCTGCTCTCTTCCAGCTGTGCAGGAAGAAATGGCTCATCTAAAACTGCAGAATGGTTGCAGGCAGGAGGGACCTTTGCAGCCCTAGTCCACCTGCCCCTGCTCAAACAGGGTCACCAACAGCACGTTGCCCAGGCCCCTCTTCACTAAGCCTTTGTAAAGTGCCAGAGAGGGAGGTTCCTGCCCAACATGTCTGGGCAACCTATTTCAGTGCTCGGTTACCTTCACAGCAAAGCCTCCTCCTGACCCTCGGAGGGACAGTCCTGTCTAACCCAGCCTACCCCTGGCCCAGGGCAGCTGCTGCCCCTCTTTGGTCCTTGTACCCTATGCCCTTGTCCCTGCAGTCGCTCCTGGCCCACAGTGCTTCATCAGTCCTCGAGCAGGGTCAGAAGAAAAGATGTGCACTGAGCTCAGGGATTGTTATTTATTTACATACAGACAGTGGGACGAGTGCCTCAGCTCTACTTCCAAGCACAGAGCAGCCGCGGGTGCAGGCCAGGCCCTGGGCAGAGCTGCTCCTGCAGAGCCCCCCGCTCCGCTCTGCTGGGGGTCCTGCTTGCTCCAGCTGTCTGAGCAGGAGCAAAGGAGGGCAGAGGAGGAGCTGCTCCAGAGGGAGTGAAAAGTGGCTCCTGGCTCCCCTTGCCCAGCACAGGGCTGCTGGCACCTTGGTTCACTGCTTGCCAGGGCTGCTGGCACCTTGGTTCACTGCTTGCCCATCCTGCTCCTTTGGCCTCATAGGAGGTGAGATTAAAAACAACTCCCTACACCCGCCTGCAATGAGGAACCCCAGGTGCATCTGTGGCAGCTGCAGGGGAGGTGCTGCTAGGTGAGTGCCCACGGCTCCTGCTGGGCCCGGGCAAGGAAAGGGCAGAGGGCCCTGGTGCGGCGTGGGCAGGGCTACCAGCCAGCTCTGCTCCGCTACAGGCCCCTCTGTTCTACGGAGCGCACGTGGCAACCCGCCGGGTGCATTTTTTGCTGTTGGTTGGTAGGTGGGTGAGAAGCAACCCCAAATTTCCCTCCCGAAGTAGCCGGGAGGAGGCGCCTGCGGCTTGAGCAGCAGCGGCCACCAGGGCTGGCGGCTGCTCTGGCAGGACAGAGGTGCTGGTGGAGGGCACAGCGCTGCCTCCCACCCTGCGCCCGAGGGCAGCTCCGGGTGCCCCTCCCTGGGAGGCAGCTCTGCCCCGCGCCACCAGCAGGGGCA